ACAGATCCTAGAACTAAATTAATTCTTTATTGCCTCCTTAAATTGCAGTGAAATATGTGTATCATATTTGTTTTGTCTGTGGCTGGCTTATTTCACTGATCATAAAAATGTCTCCCCAATTCACCCACATTCTAGCATGTGGTAGGATTTCCTTCCTTTTTAAGGTGAAGTGATATTTCACTGTGTGCCGTATCACACTGTGTGTGTCCATTCATCCACCAATAGACACTGGGATCTGCTCCCCTTTGTCCAGTCTCTTTGCTTAGAAATTTGGAGTCAGGAAGTGAGACCCATCAATCTACATTCCAACACCTCCCCCTGCTGTGTCCTACCCAGGAGATTTTTAAGTGGGTGAGTTTAGGAGGCTGTGTCCAGAAAGGAAGGCCTCCCTACAGACTTTCTGCTGGACCTAGACTCAAAAGAGGATTTGTTTTCATTTTCCATTTTTATTGTGGAGCTTCAGTGGCAGAGCAGAAAAGGACCAAAGTCATAAAACTGAGTCTCAAAGCTAAATGTGCATCACCCGAGAACCTCTTGGATCTATAGATTCCTGGCTGGGGGTGTAGTTCAGTAGCAGAGCACTTATCTAGCAGGAACAAGGCCCTGGGTTGGATCTCCTGCCTCCCCACCACCAGAGGCAGGTTCCTAAATAAAGAAAGAAAGTACATTTTAAAGTTTTTAATTAAAAATGGAAAACAATTAAAATTGCAAAGAAATGGATGTTAACAAGATAGATTTAAAATTAAAAATAAAAATTAAAGTTAAAAGAGAGGCAGATTCCTAGGCTGCATTCCAGACTTACTGTCCTGAGAACTTTGTCTGAATCACTAAAAGTGCCGTCTGCGACTGTGGGTAGAGCACAGTGGGCGAGCACTGGCTGGGCAGGTGTGAAGCCCTGGGTTTTGTCTCCCACACCCCCAAACAAACAAACAAACAAACAACAAACATTGTAGCGAAGCAGCCTATGCCACGAAGGACAACAAATATGGGCGGGGATGTGGAAAGACTGGAACCTCTGTATGTTGTTGGTAGGAATGGAAAATGGAACATGGTGCAGCTGCCATGGAAAACAGGCTACAAGTTCCTCAAAAAGTTCAAACTATCACGTGATCCAGCAGGTCCTCTCTTCAGTCTGTGCCTGACAGAGGTGAAGAAATACTGCACTCCCTCGCTCACAGCAGCGTTGTTTATCAGAGCCGAGATGTAGCAACAACCCCCTGGTCTAGGAAAATGAATGGGTAGTGAACCTGTGGTATGCACACACAATGGGGTATGATTCAGCTTTCAAAATAAGGGGAATTCTTCAGTCTTCTGACAACACGGATGAGCCTGGGAAACATTACGCTAAATGAAATAAGCCCAGCGCAGAAAACACTTACCACACGATTCCTGGTACATGAGATATTTATAGTAACCAACTCACAGAGTCAAAGAACGGAGCCTTGGTTGCCAGCACCACTGGGGGGGGGGCAGCGGGGATTTCCTAATCCACAGATACACAGCTACAGGTAAGTAAGATGCCTGAGCTCCAGAAATCCGTTCTACAGCACACGCTGCAATAATCTCAACACCAATAAACAACAAATTGAAACTGACTCAATGGGTTGTGCCATCGAACGTTGGTGAAGAGGATGCATCTCCTGCTTCCCATTCTTATCACAATAAAATAAACATTTGAAAACAGTTGAAATACCCCTAAATCACGCAGATGTCAAACTAGCAAACCAGCATCTGTGTTTTCTGAAGCCCTGGAGGGGAGGCCAGTTAGGGATGATAAACAGGCGGAGACTGGGTTCATCTACAGAGGCAGCAGTTACAGGAAAGCTGGTCCTTTGCTTCACCAGGCATCTTTGAACTGAGACACATTAAGCAACCACAACATGCCCCATACATAAAAGTAAGTGATAGGCCTTTATGCGGAACACATATTTCTTCCCAGTGGGCTGTGACCCTTTGGTCGGATTTGATGTGCACAAGCGCCCTTACTTGAAGCCTTACGGGCTCCTGCGAGGACCACAGTAGCAGGGAAACTGGCTCCTTTAATGTGTTAACTCTTGGCCTAATCTTGGTGCCTCGAAAGATAAACAGAGTGCGCCTTAACCTAAAGAAGGCCTTCTTGGGACACTTGTTTGGTTTGATCATCCCGTACCATTTTCATATCCTCACGCTCTTAAAAAAGTCTCAGTCTGTTACTCTGGTGGCACGGTCCTCTCTTGGACTCACCCAGGTCTCTCTTGCAGGGTATAGATAAAGTCCTAACTTTCCTGTCCTCCGCTGGTAAATTTCTTTAGTGCCCACAGTCCTGGCCTTTCACAAGCTGCGCCTTGCAGTGCAGCACTGATGTGTCTTCCAAGCTCAGAACCACGACCTAAAGTTTTCCTTCTTCTTTCTTTCAACCTCTTTTTGTAAGTGAAGGGGAGGGGCAGCCAGGCCAATTACAACCTCCCTCAGGGACCCTTTGATTTAAATCTCACACTCAGTGCCTGAGGCCAGGCAGGTCAACCCAAGACCCTCTCTCCCTGCCCAAGACCCTCTGTGTCTGCCTAGCCTCCTCCCAGCTAAAGCTCCACCTCCTCCGGGAAGAGTCCTTTCACTACCCACCCACTCCGCCAAAGTTCAGCCACTAGTACTTCTATCTCCTCTGTGAACTGAGTTGTCTCCCGCACCATTCAAATCCATATGTCGTGGTGCTAGTCCCCAGTACTGTTGAGAGGGAGACCTTATTTAGAAATAGGGTCATTGCATATGAAATTAGTTAATATGAGGGCAGGGGGAGAGGGAGGAAGAGGCGAAAGAGAAAATGATGAGTGTGCAGTATGTGCACGTATCAATTACCCTAGATGAATGCAGTTATTATGGATAGCAAACAAAAGAACAAGAGCAAGGTGGTTATGCTACAGGGGCGAGCCCCAAGTCCAACATAACCCTGGTCCTTATAAAAAGGACAAACTGCACCTTAGAAAGAGACATGCCCAAGGTGAGCCCCGTGTAAAAATAAAGGAAAGGATTCGGGCAAAGCCATCAGAAGTCAGGGAATAGCCGGGCGCAGCGGTGCACACCTGTCATCCCAGAACTCTGAGAGGCTGAGACAGGAGAACTGCAAGTTAGAAGCCAGCCTGAGCAATGTAGCACCTTAGAGAGAGATTCTGTCTTAAAATTTAAAAATGCAAAAGGCCCAGGAATGTAGCTCCGTGTGAAGACCCTGGGTTCAGTTAGGAGTATGGAAAAAAGAAAAAGAAAAACAAAACAAGAATAAGAAAGAGCAAGAGGAGGAGGAGGAAAGGGAAAGGGGACACAGCTAGAAAATAGCTTTGTCCTCCCGCAAACCTACCGGAGCTGGGACAGAGGCATGAAAAGGTTCTGAACCCACCCTACTGACAACTTGATCTCCACTTCCCAGCCTCCAGAGCTGAGAAAACCATCGCTGGAGCCTCCAACTGAATTTCTGTTTCCCGGTTGGCAGGGGCTCAGCAAATAAAGTCCACTGAGTGACTGAGTGGCCTTCCCAGCGAGGCAGGAAAAATGGAGGGCTGAGTTCACAGAGAGGAGACTGGAATCTGGACCTCTCTTTCCTGCTACCTGCCCTGCAGTAAGCCTTGAGCTCCTTTGAGCTCCAATTTTTTCTCTGTCAAACTATGCACATCAGACCAGCTAATAGCGCTATGATTCCTGCGGGATTATAAATCCTACAGCCCCCCCATCCAAGTCTGCATTAAAAATGAAGTTTCTTCTGGATTCTACACTGAAAATGTCTCCTTCATGGCTTTTAGGATACCTGGACCTTTCCCACTTCATAAGAGTTATACATTAATTAAGTTTAGTTTAAAGCAGTTTCCATACACAGTGAACTGCAACCTAATTTAATGTGTGACCAAACCAAATTGCAAACTAATTTAAGACTATATTGTTGTAACAAATACCCGAGCCTCAGCCAATCACAGCACTGAAGCTTCAGCCAGTCACAGGCTGGCAGCCTATCACACCAAGCGCACACAGGCAAATGCTGAGCTTGTAACCAATCAGCTTGTTTCTATGCGTCACTTCCTTCTCCTGTTTATAAGCACTACCTGCCCTCTTGCTGTGTGGAGCTCTCTGAATTTGGCCTGGTTTGAATGGTGCTGAAATTATGAATCATTCTTTGCTCAAATAAACTCTACTAACTTAATTTGTCTGAAGTTTTTCTTTTAACAAAAGCTGTGCTGAATTCTCTCAACATGTGTTAGGAGCTAGATACTGTTATCATCATTAAATCCATTTTATAGATGGAGAAAATTGAGGTTAAGAATGACCAGGTCAGGGGCTGGGGATTTAGCTCAGCGGCAAAAGCGCCTGCCTGGCATGTGCAAGGCCGTGAGTTCGGTTCCCGGTACTGGAGAAAAACCAAAAAAAAAAAAGAATGACCAGGTCAACCCAGGGCCTTTGCACTGAGCGGTATCCCCAATCCCACTTTTGTTTTGTTTTGTTTTTGCTTTGAGACAGGGTCTTGCTAAGTTCCGAAATTGTTCAGACTGGGCTCAAACTTGCTACTTTCCTGCTCTAGCCTTCCACAGTGCTGGGTTATGTGCCACTATGCCAAGGTCAAGGTGGGCATTTGACCAGCATGCTTCCCACTCAACCAGGTTTAATCAGATTCCAGTATAAACATTCAGTGGGGACTTCCGGTGAGTCCAGGACTACTGTAGATACTGGAGACACATCAGTTAGCAAAATCACACCCCCATTCCTTTGGGGTTCACAGGCTACAGGGAGAGACCAAACAGGTAAAGAAATAACTGTGGAATGTGATGCCCAATGACGAGAAAGAGGGTGAAAAGGGAGAAGGAGTGTGGGAGAGAGAGACTCTTGGGTGAGGCATTTGGGGACGTACAGGAAGTGACAATTGTGTGGCAGTGCAAGCTGGAAAGGGAGGCCCAGTGGGGTTGATGAGATGGTCCAAGAGTGAGCCTGGGTCCTTCAGCACCTGCTTCCCTCCTCCCCCATGACCCACAGGAGATCCTTACCTATGGGCAGCAGGTATCTCAGCGCCAGCAGCACCAGGAGCCACTGCCGGCCTCCAGGGGGGCCCTGGGGTGTGCAGGCCATTCACTGCAGCAAGGAGATGTGGGGACCACTCCTTGCTCTCCGTCCAGCCCCCTGGCCGAGCCCACAGACATGTCCAAAACCCTTTCCTAGGAGTGGGCAGCCAGGTGGCTGAAAGCCTGCAGGTATCAAATGTGCACAATTGGTCTAATCCCTCGCAGTGCAGGCGGAGCTGGGAATGGTCCTCTGGCCTGTTCCCAGGCGCCGATTGGCTCTTGGGTCCTTGATTTAGCCTTCTTGGATTCCCGGAGAGACAGAGACCCGTGGGTGCGTGGGGTCAGCTGCCGGGCTCAGCCTTGGGTGTCAGGAAAAGTCTCCCCAGTGTGCTTATCAGATCCAGAACTACACTGTGACTTTTGTAGCTCATAGACACTTTGGTTGTTTTCCCATTAAAATTTGTTAAAAATTATATTTTGCCATCACTTTGGTATAGAAGTAAGTACATTAAGGTTGGATTTTCTGTATTGTTTTTCTTCTGACTTTGAGAGAAATAAAAACGTTTTCAGCAGCCCCTAAAATTATTGCGGGCCCAAGCACCAAACCTTCTCCTCCCAAAACGAGTCTACCTTCCAGACTGTGTTCCTCTGGAGGAAATAAAGTGATAAAACAGTTTTGGAAAGCCACTGGCCTCCTGATAGAGGTTTATAATGTGTGTCAAAACTTCCCTTGTGGGTGGGGGTGGGGTGTAGCTCAGTGGTAGGGTATTTGCCTAGCACATGTAGGATCCTGGGTTCAGTTCTCAGCATGGCATTAAACAGATGAAGGAAAAGGAAAGAAAACATCTCTCAAAAGAGCAAACCCATTAAACTGCGTATTTGCTAAACCTGTTTGACCAAGAACTGATTTTAAGACTAGAGAGGTGCTTATCTGTGGTCCCAGCTACTTGAGAGGCTGAGGCAGGACAGCTTGAGCTCAGGAGTTTGAGATCAGCCTGTGCAGTAGAATGAGACCCTGTCCCAAATGAAACAGAGGGGGGAAGGGGGGGAACCCTGTGCCACTGTTCTGCAAGAACAGAGCGGAGGTACATGGGGAGACCTGTGTGAGCTCAGGCAATTTAACCTTTTTAAACCTCAGTCTCCTCATCAGCAAAATGTAGGTACCGCCTACCGCGGAAAGCAGTAGAATGTCTCCTGGTCCCGTGAGAACATGACGGAAAAGCATTTTGAAATACTGAGATAAATAGTTCATATTTATTTCAGGAAAATGTGATTAGTGCCATGTCACTGGAGCAGACAGAGAGATGCAGCAACCAAGCGCTAACAATTATTTTGCAAACATTGGCTGTGTGCCAAGCTGAAAGAAAAAACCCTGGACAGTATGCCGTACCTCTAGCTCATATCAGGACTCATTCTCACACTCTATGGGTGTACGAGTCACTCCGGGATCATGCAGAGGTGCAGATTCTGACTCGTAAGTTCCAGGGCAGGTCTCAGAATGTGCACTTCTGACAAGCTCCCACAGGATGCCCACGTCTCTGGTTTAGGGAACACAGCTGGACTGGCCAGGAAGTGCACATGTTTCAAAGGAAGCAAACTGAAGCACAGAGAGGTGAAATGACTTGTCCCAGCTTGCATAGCTGGCGAGGGTCAGAGTTGGAAAGTGTTCACGGTCTGGTTGCAGCCTCTTCCCAGCTGCCTGGAGTCTGATCAAGGGAGTGCAATATGCTGGGAAGGAGAATTGCACCATGTTCTAAGGAGTTGGGACAGATGCTAGGGAGTTTTAAATGGACCAGTCAAAGTTGGGTGTGGTTTACATTTCTCTGATCCCAGCACTCTGGGAGGCTGAGGCAGGAGGATTGTAAGATCGAGCGCAGGCTGGGCATCTTAGTGACTTAACAAGACCTTGTCTCAAAATAAAAAGTTAGAAGGACTGGGGATGCAGCTCAGTGGGAAAAGTCCTGGCATCAATGCCCAGTATCAAAAAGAAAAAGGAGGAGGAGGAGAAGAAGGAAATGGGGGGCGGGAGAGGGCAGAGTAGAGGAAGGGAAGAAAACGCCCCAGACGGCCTTGGGAGGAAGGCCTGGGAGGAGAGGTCCTAGAGGCAAAGGGGCAGGTGAAGGGTCACCCGAGCAACTCCAGGAGGCCCAGTTAGTCTCGGTGGGATGAAGGGAAAGGAACCAACATCACAAGAGGCACCTGGGAGAGGAGTGGATGATGGCTTATGGTGGTGAGGGAGGAGGAGGAGGAGGGCCCTGGGAAGGATACTCTGTAGGGCTGCCTGCAGCTGCAAGCTTTCCCCTGGATCCGCCCTTTCACAGCCGCCCTTTGCATCTGGTCACTGCCCCCTTGGAAACCTGCCATGGTTTCTCACAACTTCAGGACACTCTGGCTCTTAGTTGGGAATAAAGTCACCTCGGAAGGTTTGACATGGTTTAATGCTTTTGCTGTCCCTGTCATTTTCTTTCCAATTTGATTGAGCTATGGTAGACAAAAACTGGATGTCTTCCAATTTATAATTTGGAGCACCTCCCACTTTTGTTTTGCACTAGGCCCCACAAATTATGTGCTCAGTTCTGTTCGCCAGAGGCAGGCTGTGCTACTTTTGCAACCCCATGTCCCCTCTGTGATGGGCTCAATGTGCACCACCCCCCACCCAATTTGGATGTTGAAACTCTGACTTCCATAGAAATAGAAGAGTTGAGTCTTCATTTCTGTGGGCTCTGCATCTTTGGATTCAACCAACTGTGGGTCAAAAATATTTTGAAAAAAATAGCACCTGTCCTGACGTGGCATTCTCCTTTTGTCATTAATCCTTACACACTAAGTATAACAACTATGTATACAGTATTTATGTTGCATTCGATGTTATAAGCCAGCTAGAAATAATTTAAAGGATATGAGAGAATGTGTGTAGGTTCCACACAAATACCGCACCATTACATATAAGGAAGCTTGAACATCTGTGGATTTGGTTCCCCCAGGTCCCAGACCGCATTTGCAAAGAGGTCCTTTAGTGGGTAATTGAGGTTGGATGATGTCATGATTGTGGGACTTTAACCTGAGAGGAGTGGTGTCCTTATAAGAAGATGACATAGGAGGGTCTGATGGTGGATGCCTATAATCACAGCCGCATAGGAGGCTGAGAGAGGAGGACTGCAAGTCTGAGGCCAACCTGGGCAATTTAGGGAGACCCTGTCACACACACTCACACACACACACACACACACACACACA